CAGATGCGGTAGCTGCACCTCAGGAAAGATACAGCAGCACTAGAGAAAGAGGGGCAACTGACATGATGAAGGAGACTGAGACAGACTGAGAAGAGGCCAGCTCTTCTGTCTAGAAAGACAAAACTGAGAGGGAATGGAAGTGAAATCTACAAAACCACAAATGGTAATAAAACAGGCTACTAAGTGCAAACCACAAGAAATTACTTCGTAGCCTAGTAACTTACCCTGTAGGGAAACAGATTCCTATCAACTCTCAGTCATACAGTGTATATCTAAGGTAAAGCAATCAATAAGCATTCCTAGCGTAGCTGCCATGTGCCCAGCACTGTGCTGTTCACTATGGGGCATCAAAGAGAAATAGAAGCATCAATGCCTTTAAAGAGCTTGCATTTAGGGCAACCACTTACACACAAGAAATAATTAGCGAACAGTATCTAATTTAGGGCCTAAAGATGCGGTAAAGACCTAAGTGCCAGAAGAATTCAGAGAAGAGAAAGAAACTACAGGCTGGAGTGGAAATTAGAATGTAAATTCCTAGAGGGCAGGGATTATTTCACTTTTGCTTTTGTATCCCTAAACTTAGCATAATGGCTGGCAAACAGCTGGTGCTTAATGAAATGTTTGCCTAAGCCATCAAAATACTCCAAGGCCTCTGAGAGGACGTCCCACCTGACATGTGCCTTGAATGGCGGATAGGACTGGGAAAGATAGGCAAATAGGAAGAAGATGGGGATTGCAGGCTGAGAGAGCAGCCTGAAAGACACAGTGACAAGAGCAAACATGGTGACTCTGGTCACTAGAGCTAAGGGTCCCTGTTAGGGACTAAGGGAGAAAGTGTCAGAGCAGTAGGGTAAAGTGAACTGAGATTGTAAAGAATCTCAAAATCCAGGCAGAAAGTTTGTGAACTTAATACTAACATTCATTTATATAGCCCTTTAAGATTTGCAAAGTGATATGCATGCATCATCTCATTTGAGCCTAACAACAGCCCTTAGTAGATATTGCAAATGTTATTAACTCCATATTACCAGGGAAGACAATAAAGTTTAGAGAAATCAAGTGATTTGCCTTGGTATTCAAATACCCAGGATTCAAGCCCAGGTCTCTCCTAATCCTAAATCCAGCTCATTGTACTATGTCCTCAGAGGAGCCATTTTAGGCACTACAGCAAGGGACAGCAAGGGAGGGAGGGAGAGCGGATTGGAGGGAAAGGAAGGGAGGGAGGGAAAGAGAAATGGGAAGGGATGGAGAGGGGGGTAGGAGGGAAACAGAGGGAGAGGGAGAGAGAGAGAGAGAAAGAGAGAGAGAGAAACACAGATTTGCTTTTCCTGCAAGTTAAACAAACAAGCTTTATGAAGTGCCTACTGTGTAAAAAAAAAAAAGCACTGTTAGGTGCCATTAGCACAAAGACTAGGAAATACTAGGGAAGCTAGGTGGTGCAGGGGATACAGAGAACTAAGCCTCAAGTCTAATTGACTTGAGGTCAAATGCAGCGTCAGACACTAGCTGTGTGACCCTTGACAAGTCACTTAACCTCTGTCTGCCGAATGCTGGAGATAAGTTCACTTACCTTGGCAGTATACTTTCCAGGGATGTCCACATAGATGATAAGGTTGATGCACGCTTTGACAGAGCTAGCTCAGTGTTTGGGAGACTCTGAAGGAAAGTGTGAGAGAGAAGAGGTACTAGACTGCCTACCAAACTGAAGGTCTACAGAGCCATTGTGCTGACCTTGATGTATACCTGTGAAATCTGGACAGTCTACCAGCTCCATGCCAGGAAACTGAATTGCTTTCATTTGAATTGTCTTTGGAAGATTCTGAAGGTCACCTGGCAGGATAAGGTACCAGACACTGTGGTCCTTTCTCAAACTAATCTGCCAAGCATTCAAACTCTACTGCAGAGAGCCCAACTCCGATAGGCTGGCCACGTTATTTGAATGCCAAATGTACATTTGCCTAAAAGACAATTTTTACAGAGAATTCACAGGAGGCAAACACTCACGTGGAGGACAGAAGAAGTGATACAAGGACACTCAAGGTCTCTCTGAAGAACTTTGGAATCAATTGTGAGACATGGGAGACGCTGGCCCAGGACTGCCCAGCGTGGTGCAAGGGCATCAAAGAAAGCACCGTGCTCTGTGAGTACAGTAGAATTGCAGTAGCTCAAAAGATATGTGAGATGCACAAATTCCAAATGTTCATGTGGACTATTTGTGCCTGACCTGTGGCAGAGCCGTCCCGGCTATTGGTCTGACCAACCACAGTGAGGTACACCGTACCTTTACCCCAACATAATGATGTCATTTTGGTCCTCTTTAAGAGCAAAGGACAACCAACCAACCAGCCTCAGTTTCCACATTTGTAAAATGGGGACAATAATAGGACCTATCTCTCAGGGTTATTATGAGGACCAAATGAGATAATATTTGTACAGTGCATGGCACATAGTAGGCACTATATGAATGCTAGTTATTATTATTATTATTATTATACAGTTTTATATAGAGGGTAATCAACTTAGGGAACTTAGCTTTAAAACCTCCTTTCTAAAGCTTTCTGTGGTCTTCTTGCACAGCGGCCAAAGTATTGTGTTGCACTTGGGAGTCCAAAAAACCCACGGTTTAAATCCTGCCCCAGACTGCAGCTGAGTGAATTTTGGCAAGTTACTTAAATTCTTTCAGCCTCAGTTTCTCATCTGTAAAATGGAGATATGAATAGTACCTACCTCCCAGAATTGTTGTGAAGACCAAATGAGACTTTATAATTATAATTTTCTCCTATTGGTGGAGATGGGGCTCTGCCACTGATTTGCTGGGTAACCTTGAGCAAGTCATTTCCTTTTTTTGGGCCCCATTTTCCTCATCTTTAAAATAAAAAGGTTGAATGGCATGGTTCATAAGATCCTTTCCATCTCTATATTCAGTACAATGTGAACTGCTTGAGGGCAGAGACTTTCTTCCCCAGGTTGTTTTTTTTTTCTTTTCCCAGTGCTTTTCCCAAAGAAAATAATTATGAACTTTTTAAAAAATTAATCATAAGACCTCCACCTCCACTCTGCCCTGACCTGTGGAAGTGTTATTTACATCTTGGTAACGTGCTTGACCGTTGTTTCTCTCTCTCTCTCTCTCTCTCTCTCTCTCTCTCTCTCTCTCTCTCTCTCTCTCACACACACACACACACACACACACACACACACACACACACACACACATAAAGAAGGTTGATGGGGAATTTCTGGGGTTACTTGACGAGTCTTTGGATCTTTGCATCTTCCTCTAAAAGCTATGCTCATGCTCATTGATCATCTGCCTCTTAATTGGGGAACTTCTAGCAGAACTGGTCCAGGAACACCTCCCTGAATGTGAGGACATCTTAATTCTCATCTATTGGGAAGGAATTGCTTGACTGAACTATTGTGGGCCCAAGCCATACTTTTGCACTGGGTCAAAGAAGTCCACAGCAGATCCCTTTTGCTCTTTCCAGAGCTGCGGAGCTAAGGTGGGGTTGGGGTAGGGAAATGGGGAAAGCCTGTGAGTATACATAGATGTATGCATGTTAGTTCCCCCTTTAGAAGGCAGAAAGAGATTGATTCGTTTTTTGTCTTTTGTGTCCCCAGGGTCTAGTAGAGTGCCTGGCACATTTTTTTCCCCCTAAGGGGAGCCATGATTTCACATATAAATAGGGATCTATATTTTGAATGAGCAAATGAACCAATCATAGAAATCCAAGAGTCCTAAGAGTTAGAAAGGCCTTTAGAGGTCTTCCAACTCCCTCATTTGAATGGAGAATATTGAGGCCCAGAAAGACAAAGTGAAGCATTTCATAATTATGCCATACAATTAACAAGTGATTGAATTGGGACTTGAATCTAGCTATGGGTGTCCGTGTGCCTATGTACCAAGCACTATGCTAGATACTGGAGAGTCTAAGACAGTCCCTTAGCTCAAATAGGTCACTGTTACTGGGGAGAGACAATATGTAAACAGAGAAACTTTAACATGTGATAACTTCTTCAAGAGAAGGGAGAAGATATTAACAACTACAAGCATCAGGAAACAGTTCTCATAGCTGTGCTTTGAAGGGAAGTAGGGATTCTAAGAGGTACAGTTGAGGAAAGAATGTATACCAGGCATGGGAGTAGGGTGGAGGCATACAGTGCAAAAGTACAGAAGTCGGCCTCTAAGCCCTACCTTTTGAGACTTTGGAATTCACGCTGCCGATATTTATTGCACTATGTGCAATACCCTGAGCAACGCACTGAGCAAAGCTTTGTAAGAGATGCAAAGAGCGTCTCTATTTTCAGAGAGTCGTAGGAAAGCAGTGCATTGAGCAAGGAATGGATCCTAGGTGTAAAGGACCGTTAGACTAGGGGTCTAGCCCCCTAGTTTTGCAAATGATGAAATAGCTTGCTCAAGGTCACATAGGTCGTAAACTGCAGAGATGAGATTGGAACCTGGATCTTAGGAGGCCAGTTTTGGCGCCCTTACCACTGCACTGACTGCATCACAAGGCCGCAAAGAGCCAACTCATCTAGAGATCAGAAAGAGGCTCAGCTTTGCAGAGTTCTTGGAGGAGGAGTGGGCACGGGAGATGTCGGGGGGAAAAACTGGCATGAGCGGGGTGGGGGGTGGGGGGGGACAGATCTGGGGAGAAAAGGTTGTGCTGCAACTGTGCATGGGTTGTTTCCAGAATGCAAGGACTGTCTTTTTGTCTTAGCGTCCCTGGCGTTTGCCCAGTGCCTGGCACCTACACCTAGTAGGCTCTTAATATGTGTTTTAATGGATTGAGTTGCATCCTGAAATAAAATAAAGGCGGGAGACAGTACCTGTGTGAGTGTATGTGAGTGTGTGGCACGGCGCGTGCCTGCCTGCCGCGGGGCGGGCGGGGGCGAGCTGAGTCGAAGTGGGGGAAGGGAGGGGGGCGCGGAAAAGTAGACTGAGAAGGGGGGAGGAGGGAAGGGGCGGGGCCGCAGAGGAGGTGGCTTGCAGGGTTGGCGGGCGGAGTCTGCGCCATTTCAGCTCAGAGCTGGGGCTGGCACGGTTGCGTCTCGATCGCTCCCTCGCTCCCTGGGTGCCGCCTCCTCTTCCTCCTCGTACTTTTCTTCCTCCTTCTCCACTGCTTGTTTCTCCTTCTCCTCCTCCTCTCCTCTCCTCCTCCTGCTGCTGCCCGGCCGCCGCCGTCGAGCCTCCCTCACCGTCATGGCGAACCTGAGCCCCAGCATCGTGGTGAGCTGACCCCGCCGTCCCTGCCCTCTCCTTCCCCCTTCTCTCCCCCCACTCCCGCCCGCTACCCTACCCCTCTGCCCGAAGACCCCCGTCTGGGCGTCCAGCAGGTCTGGGGGAGCGATCCTTGGGAGGAGGGGGCTGGGCTGGCATAGACTGGGCTAGACCAGACTAGACTAGACGGAGGGGGGGGGCGCGCGCGCTGCCCAGCTCGACTTCGCAACGTGGGCGGCTGAGGGAAAGGGAGGGGGGCGGTCGAAGGAGCTAGAAAGGAGGGAGGGGGGTTGCGCTCCAAAATGCGGGTTATGAGAGAGATGGTCACCAGCCATGTTGGGGGGGGGCATATGCGGCCACCAGGCTGGCGGGCTTCAGGAGTGAGCCAGGCACCCACGTTTGCTCCCGGACTTCTTTTAGGCTTGATAGGCAAGGGGTGCAGTATGGATGAGTGGAGGGTCCCCCAAAAAAGTGAGGGCGGAGCCAAATAAGCAGGGAAGGAGGAAAGCTTTTTTCCCCCCTTCGTTCATTAAGTATGATCCAGCAAAAGGAGTTTTTAAATGCCCACCAAATGCAAGCAAGGCACCCTGTACTAGGCACCCGGGGAGAGGAACCCACCACAGCTGCACTGACCAAAATTACCCTCTGGGAGCTTCTGTTGAATTTCCACTATGCTTAAAATACCCAGTGGAATATAACGTTTGATCAGACCTATTACACACACACAGACACACACACACACACACACATAAACACAACCCCCCCCCCAGCCCCATCCCTGCAGGGCTAGATTCAGCTTCTAGTAGTTTAAGATGAATTATTCTTTTTGGATTTGAGAAGGCATGAATCACCTGAACCAGGCAATTAAACCAGGAAAGAATGAACCAACTAATCCTACCAAAAAAAGTGATCTTGGGGAAAATTGGGGAAATTTTTTTTAATAAAATTCAACTGTTTCATCAATTTAGTTCAATAAAATATTATTTAAATATTAAGGTATGCTTCGTGTAAAGGTACTGTCCTAGGCACGGGGGAGGAGGGGGTAATACTTTTGTATTCTGCCCCCAGGGAACTGAAATTCTATTGAAGCTCCCACTATGCACATAACACCAGGTGGGATACTGAACTGAATTTTTCCAAACATGGCCCCTCCTCACTAAGAGCTATATTCACCTTTTAAAAGCTTGAAATGTACATATCTTTTTTTTTGGATTTGAGACCGGAAAACATTAATCAATTTAAACTTATGAGAAGGTTTTTTCTTATGTATTATATTAGAAGGATTGCACATTGAAGAAATTCAATTTAAGTGTATTTTATTAATTTTCATCCGTTTTCTAAGTACTGATGTATAGAGGATGCCTGCAATTGAATAAGATTTGGTGCTCATGATTTGTTGTATTACATGATTTTAAATGGATGATAATCAAAATTTTGCTCATCATGAGATGTTTTTATATGGGTAATCCCATCATGCTTTGTCTGCCATATCTGTTTCCTTGGCTACCTAGGAATGATGTGTACCTTAAAAAAATAAAATGATAAATTCTAACTAAAAGACGATTTATGCAGCAAGGGTGAGAGGGTGCATTTTTATTTATTTGTATGAAATTAATAAGTGCTTTGGGTGTTATATGTACTATAGAAGGTGCATAGATAATGTGATATGTGCAGTTGTTCTCTTAATTTGAAATCTGTTATTACTGGTATGTTAATCCCTGTGCTAGAATTGAATTTCACCTTGGCAATAGGGTTTGTTGAGCTATTAAATGTGTCTTTTCTCACCTAGAGTCCAGCAGCTGTGCTGGCAAGGATCAGAAATTAGACTGTAGATGTTCAAAAATATGCTTTAATGTGTTCAACTAAGAATATATGCATTTTTATTTTGAGAAATTAGAATGGTTTGCCACTCCCACTGTATGTCTTCATTCTATGTTATATGATTAATCATACAGTATTTATCTGGATAATGCAGGTGGGAACCCTAGGCAGAATGGAAGGCAGGAAGATGGAGCCTACCATAATCCAAAAGAGGAGGGGGGGGGAATCTGTTGCTTTGCTTTTCAGTACCTGGGGTTTGCTAGGCAGAAACTGGACTGCGGATTTTTTTTTCCATGATGCAGACATGATGGCAGTCATCCTGCTAATATATCCCCTTCTCTTCCTACCTACATGCTTTATTTTATGGACATTAAAAGACCACAGGAGCTTGATTTCTCTTTCTTTGTTTCACTAAAATACAAATAAAAGCAGCAGCTGCCATTTTTTTTAATGTTAACATCAAAATGATGGTTAGCCTGGCAGATCGACAGTAAAAATCAGAAATAAAGAAAATAGTCAAACATACCCTCCTGCCCTTGGCTACCTATTTAGTCTGGAGACATGACACGGTTATAATTTTAACAGTATCCTAGGATCATAGACTTCAAGCTGAAAAAGACCTTTGATGGCCTAGTTATCTGGAACCCCCCCCCTTCCCATTTTACGGATATGGAAACTGAGCTCAGAAAGGTTAAATGATTAACCCAAGATCAGATGGACAGTAAGTGGCAGGGCTGGGATCTAAATTCAGGGGACCCCCTTCAGTTCTTCTGCATCAGGCTGCCTCCTTGACTGTTTTGTATTCGTGTGGTAAATTTAATGATTTTTAATCTGGGAAGCCACATAAAAGCCTTTGAATTAGGTAAACATTTGTTTACCCCTTCCTTCTCCCTCACCCCTCCTCAAGGCCACCCATGCCTCATCCTAGTGTGGAGGGCACCCTATGGTCTCCCAGGCAATGCCAACCCAGCCCAAGCTTCCATCAGGTTTTACCTAGCTTAAAAGGCTTTCAAGTTTTGCCTGAAGACAGACCTGTGTATCTAACACCTGAAGACCAGTTTAGCTAGGCTCCATTCAGTCACATGCTAAGGACAAAAAAGAAAAAAAAACAAAACAGAAATAGGCCCTACCGTCCAGGACCTTAACTGTCTGAAGTCTGAGAGGCTTATCAGAAGGGCTCCAAGGCCAAAAAAAAAAAAAGTGGAGAGAGGGTGGGACAAGTCAGTGATGCTGTTTCCTGGGGCCAGGGACTACTGGCCTGTTAAGAATGCTGATTTTACTTGACACTTACTGGCTGTGTGACCCTGGGCAAGTCATTTAACCCCTATTCTGTCACCAAAAAAGCAACAAAAAAAAAAGCTAATTTTAATCATTTTACTTGCTTTCTTAAGGGCCGAGTTTCCTGACCACATTTAATTTTTCAAAATTGCTTCCAAGGACCCATATCCTAAGCCATAGAAAGATCTTCTTATGCATTAGGGGAAGGAATTAAACCTTCCCCCCCATCAAATACTTGAAGAATTCTAGTTGATGAGTGAGTCGTTTTTCAGTCGAGTCCAACTCTTTGTGACCCCCATTGGGGGTTTTGTTGGCAAAGATACTGGAGTGGTTTGCCATTTCCTTCTCCAGCTCATTTTTCAGGTGAGGAAAATGAGGCAAGCAGGGTGAACTGACTTGCCCAGGATCACATAGCTAGTAAGTGTCTTAGGCAAAAACTTGTAGTTATCTATGAAGTATTTTAGTACCACATATATGACTACAGTTTCTTTGGGGTAAATGATAGCAGGATAAGATGATTTAATAAGTCAGTTTAGTATTTTGCATGACTATACATGTAGAACTTATGTCAAATTGCTTGCCTTCTCAGTGAAGGGGAGAAGGAGAGAATTTGGAACTCAAAATTTGAAAGAAACAAAAGAACATTAAAATTGTTTTACTTGTAATTGGGGGAAAATAAGATAAATTATTTTTAAAAAGTCAGCCTTTATTAAGTACCTACTGTGTGCTAGGCACAGGACATACAAAGACAAAAATGAAAGTCACAGGCCCACAAATAAGCATCAAGTCCCCAAAGTAAATTTGAAAAGGCAATGGGAGATTGTAGATGAAGTCTGACCTTGGAATCAGGAAGATCTGGGTTTGAATCTCACCTTAGAGCCTTATTAGCTGTGTGATCTTACAGTTTCTCTGGGACCCAGTAAATCTGTAAAATTGAGGGGGTTGATTCATTGACCTCTAAGTTCCCTTTCAACTCTCTATGATCCTGTGATAAATTGAAGAGGGGACAGATCACTAACAACCATGGGAATCGATCAAGAAGCATTTACTAAGCTCCTATTCTTTGCTAGTCGTTGTGGTATGTGCTTGAAATAGAAAAGCAAAAGGAAGAGTAGGGAGGCTTCATGGAGGAGGTGATCCCGAGCTGGGCCTTGAAGAAAGAGGAAGATTTTGATAGTAAAAATATTAAAATACAAACGTATAAATAGTACTAATTTGCGAGGCTTATTATAAAATAAAATTATGAAAGTGTCCATAAATTTAATTAATATTTAAGATTATGTAGCTCAGTAGTTACTAACAGCCTAATGAAGCTCTGGGCTGTCTCAGATGATTTCAAAGGGTTATCAAAATTAATTTCATGAGAATATTTTGTGCATTTTAATTCCCTTTAATGTACAAGGGAAATCTGCCATAGAGTGCCTTTTGCACAGTGAGGATCTCTTGAAATCAAAGAAATAAGAATATGTCACAATTCTAAAAGGTTGGAAAGCATTGCTAGATATTAGTAACATAGACCAGCTTATTTGTATTAAAGACTGTCCTTCTCTTCACCCTGGGGCTACTCTTTGCTGCCATTCTTGTCTTCTTGTTTGGGGCCTCAGTGTTAATCCTGTTGCCATCTTTTGACCATGGTATTTAGCGATCAGCAGTCCCAAATGGTGAATTGATGGGGTAAGTGCAGACTGCTTCATTTCCTTGTTTCCTGTCAAGGTTGCTCAGAAAGAAGATTATTTTACATCAGGCATGAGCTGTACACATACATAAATCTTCTGTAGACCATCGATTATGTAGGTGAATCACAAAATTATTGAAGATGTGTTATGCTTGTTTTATTGGAAAATAAAAGGTATTTTCATATCTTCCATGACAAACTAAAGCACATATCCTTGAATTTTAGGCTGAATTTC